TTTACCATCAGGTGGACTGTGTCCTCGTTTGTCATCCTTGTTCTGTAAAAAAATATCTGTAGCCTTCCCAGATTGAAGATGGCAAGAAATCTACGGTCTGCAGTAATCACTTACCATCAGGCGAACTCAAAGTTATTTCATCACTTCAGCTTTATTTAAAAAAATGCGAATTATAATGACAGTTAATACGCACTTCTAACATTTATATAAATGTCAATAGTAAGATTAAAGAGTAGTTATAACTGTAATCGAGATCCACCCTAAATCTAAATGTTAGAATGCTCAACGTGATAGTGCTCGCTTCCCCTCTGGTCGATATTTATTCAATAACCTATAACTTGGAAAACGTTCAAAGACAAAGTTAACAAAATGAAATTAGAAATTTAAGGTCCTAGATTTGTATCCTACCAACGGCTAAATATCTTTTTTTATTGGTGCGCTGTAGCTCAACCTACAGCCCTTTCATAGTTTGCGGCAAAACTAATAACACTTTAATAAATTGAAATAGGTTGAGCTTTTATTTATTTATTTATGTTAGTATATGAAATATATATTTATGTATATTTATCATTTCCTTTTATATATTTATTCAGCCCAATCAGATACACTACTAATACCCCATAATAATAATAATAATAAACTATAGTCGTCTGTAAATAATGACCTGTAGTCGTCTCTGCAAACGGGCTAATCCCAGTCAGCCTCTCAGGTCATCTGAGGCGACTGGGACTCCGTGACGGACCGCTCCAGGCTCAAATACAGAAGGCAGTGCTCTTCGATACCGCCCGCATCGTCTGCCGGTTTCTTTCCCTTTCCCCCTAACCCTCGGCCGTTTGGTCTCCCCTGCCGAGGGCCTACATCTGGTTGGGCTTTTATTTATTTATGTATTTTTATATTTATTTAATTTTATTGATATTTATGTATATTTATCTTTTCATTTCCATTTATAATTATATATTTATAGAACCCAACCAAATGAGAAAACTATACTGACACTCCCCAATAATAATAAAAAAATTTTGTCCGCCGGTTTCTTTCTCTTTCCCCCTAACCCTTGGCCGTTTGGTCTCCCCTGCCGAGGGCTTGCATCTGATTGGGTTTTTATTTATTTATGTATTATTTATTTATGTTAGTACATGAAATGTATATTTATGTACATTTATCATTTCCTTTTATATATTTATTCAGCCCAACCAGATGAGAATACTCTATTACCCCATAATAATAATAAAACGTTTATTTCAGACATCATGATCCACTTTGTACTCCAAAAAACTGTCTTAGAATTTTAACAGCAATAATTTGTTATTATCAATTGCTTTTTTATTACCTACTTTAAAAGTATACGTCATTAAATGAGTATAAGTTTTTAATATATTATTGTTAAAACAACAAGCGGAATAACGTTACGTGTACTTGTTTTCCCGACACATAATTAAGAACGATTAGTAAGTAAACGACTCAGGCTATCATTACAAATACCTATGAAGCAGTTTCAATAACTACCAAAACAATTGGCAATATGCTCGTCCATTTGGGTCTATGGCCGCTACAAATTGACTCAGTCATGTCGATTGTTCTCGGAGCAAATGAGGAGTAAGATGAATATCCTGTATGAAAAAGGGGGATAGATAGTGACAGATTTGTTGCTTTTATAAATTGACAAAATGGCACATCCTGTTCATTTCCTAACAATATAGGAACTCTTGAGTTGACGCATCTTGTTTGTAAAATAAAAACCTTTAAAAATCTAGAAGAAATGTAATCATTTTTCGTACTTTTTAACTTCTTAACTCTGGTCCAAAATTAAAATATATATCCATGTCGAGGTCTATATATATAGGTCATAGTCGAATTCTAGGGTTTTAGATTGGACTTTTGTAAATTCGTACCTACATTAGTGATTTTTTTAGTTTTACGATGATATCCTTTCAAAACTATTAAATTCGACCCTCACATCCAATTATTTTTTTTTCACCAAATGAAAATATGATAATCTGGAGTGATGCAATCGCACTCACACGAAAACCGTACTTACTTACGACCTATTCATGCTACAACTATACCACTAATATACTGCAACACGGCTCTACCACGTATATATTATTAATTAGAATTTTGGGTATTCACCTGCATTATAGTATCAATTTACTAATTACAAGAAAACATCGGCTTGGCTCGGTCGGCTGTCTTATATCAAAACCAAATGTAACTAAATTTTTGTTCAGCAGCAGATTTATTTGACAGATATTCATGCTTTCATATTTCTGCAGAGAATTAGGTACTATAAATAAGATTTTCAATAAAAACAGTTATTTTAATGTCACTTACCGAGTTTTTATATTGAGACAGCTGAAGTATATCAGTGTTAGTCAAAGAGTGTGGACCAATCTCGAAAGTTACACATGACAGTAGAGGCATTCTTATGATCTTTAATAATTAGATTAAATTTAAAGCCTTAATAAAAGACCATAAGGTAATATAGTACGAGAAGGTTATATGGTCATCCGGTTAATATGGTCACTTTCTTGTAACTCAAAAACGATTATAGCCTTATTTGCATAGATGACTTTGTGATACAATAGCGCTTCATCGGTCAAACAAATAATAAAGGGTCAAAATGGCGATGCTTCATAGACGCCATTTTGACAGTTAACATTATAGTAAATTAATTTATTCGATTTTAGTTCCTGTGGTGTAATGTAATTAGTTTTTAAGTAGATTTTTCGAAGTCTTCATAATGATTGCGAAAGCTTATTTGCTAGATTTTTTCTTAATAGATTGTTACTTTGTTTTTAATTATACTTTGTGTTTTTGTCTCTGTCCTTCTCCTAGATTTGATTTTATAGGGCGGCAAAGTTTAAGGTGACCATATAACCTTCACGTACCTTACACGTTAATGGTAAAACTTTTATTATTTTAGATCCAGCATAGCGATGTGTGCGGTATTAAATTTTTTAATTAAAAACAATTCAAAAATAAATAAGGCATGATAATAGAACCGTACTACTTTATTTTTTATGTGATTTCTGAAAGTGCATTACCTAAAGATTTCTTCTATTTATACGAACACTAAATGAAATTAAGTCGTCCCCGCAATCACATCAGATTTGATAGACCCCCGATTCCTACCAAGGATGATTCGCGAGGCTATTAAAATTAAAAAAAAAACATCCTAATTTCAATAGAGAAGATGGCACTCAAGAATACCACTGCAAGGCTTCGAGACACTATAAGTTCCTTCTGTGTAGATTGGATGGTTCTAAGTTTTGATTCTTACAATGTTTTCAGGTCAAGATACTTAATAAGAAGTATTTATCTAAGTTAGCTTCCGATAATGACTTGATTGGTGACGAAGAAAAATCCTGATAGAATCCTGTTTCTGGACACCCTTCTCTATTACCCCTCACAATAATGAAGAACGGTTATGCCCAGCTTTTATGGGCTGTGGTCATTTTTTGTATTTTATAAATATAGTTATTCCGTACATAATAATATATATTTAAAAAATATTTTATGTCCACGATGTAAAAAATTTCAACAAAAGCGAACGAGATAATCTATCGTGATATCACATCTGACAAAACGTAAATATTTTACACAAAACACACAAGAAAAGGCTTATTATTTAATCCCGAGATAGATACAGCAAACAATTGAAGCGTAACTCACAAACCCTTACTGGTAGGTGTTTGTGACAGGATTCATAAGTCATAACGTGAATAATGTGCATAACAGGTGATGAATTATAACATATTGTTTCAACCTGATGCATTGATTACTCATCAATGAATTTGCTACTGCATACACTTAACAGTGTTTTTGTTTTGCAAAGTTTATTGCCTATTGACCACATTACTATATACTATGAACGAACGATTAACTACAAACATATTATTTTTATCTTTTAAAAAAGGTAAAAGAACTTGTAACGACTGTAAAATAAATAGCGTGCAACTGATGAATTCCTCGCACCGCATAGACAATATATTAGACATTATCAAGTGAATAAACGAACACAACACGTCTGTTAACCCTAGATAAACCTTAGATAAACAATATTGCATATAAATCAAAATGGGATTTCACGGAAACGTCTCTGTCATGAGAATTAATTTACTGTATAAGCAGAATTATATCTATATACACGTATATATACCATATATAAAATATTAAATCAAATTATAGAATATATTATTAACGAATATATTGATGTACATATACGTAGGTATATGATAATGAATGCAGCGTTTAAATAATTAAACAATATGTTTATCATTTCAGTTATTTTTAAAATATAAAACTGAATTTACAAAGAAACTTATAATAAGCCTGATCAGCTTCAGGTACAGTCCATGATCACCTGCATACACCTCCCAACAAAGACTTCGAATGCGTTATCACTCTCTATACCGTCAGACCGGAAAACATCAGTTACTGAATTTGGCGGCAAAAATACGAGTAAATAATAATGTGATACCTACCCTGATGGGAACATAGGCAGAAAAAGAATTCCTATCGCCAAGGATAGCAGAGTCCTATTCATTAATATAGTATAGTCCTATTCTGATTATTTGATATATTTTTTTATAAAAATCTTTTTTATAGAGTAAGGGTGATAAACGAGCACACAGTCCACCTAACGGTAAGTCGATATCGTGGCCCATAGACTGAATGTAGACACATTTAAACTCGATTAATAATTAAAATGCAGATGCGTTGTCACCCCTGAAGTCTAAGATGAAATGCCTCGATTCCAGTAAAACGGGTCTCCATTTCTCTATACTCACCATACGAAACACAGCAGCATTAAGCTGCTATGTTACACCTGTATTCAAATTTTTTTATATATGACACGGTCATGTAATTTTGTATGTTTCACACTTTAACCTCAATAACGATTCTCGATATAATTTCTTTCTATCACTCCCAATAACATAAACACACCACAACCGAAACCACAAATTCTTATTATCAAAACTTGATAAAAGTTTACTTACCAATTGATCTGTGATCAGCCTGATTGCCGTAGAACTCGTCCAGCTCTTTAGCGGAACAAAGTGGGGTGTCGACTTGTGTAGTTTCATCAAACTTGGAATAATCTACTTCGTAACCTTGGCGTTCACGGTTATACGTCACCAACGGCACGAACCTGTGTCCCCACATAATTTCACTTGTTGTATAACTAGATCTCGCTTGTGTTGTTTGCCCCGTTGATTCGATCGTTCCTTCCAATATAACTACGATCTCGAATCTTTCCTGTAGGACGTCCGCCGCTGAAACTCCGTAAAACGGGCTTTCAGCGTTTATTCTGTGCACCATTGTGATTGGCCAAATAAAGAATAGATTGCTGTCGCATCCGTCGGCATTCAACTCCAATTCAGTCTGATAGTGGGACAGCAGCTCGCCTTCCTTCGTTGTCCTGGATCGAATTAGTTGAGCTCTCACACTAGCTCCAATAATATGTGACTTCCTCAAATCCCCAACACGGAACATTAAACACAGCTCTCCGTCACGCTGGCATACAACTGCATATTTCGAAAATAGAAGGGTCTGTGTTCTGTGCTTAGGCCTTGTCATCTTGGCGAACACGATGCCCACCATAAAAGCTTGAATCATAACCCCAACAATACTCTGTAAGCACATTATAAATATTGCCTCCGGACATTCTTCCGTCGTTGTTCGCGATCCATAACCGATCGTATGTTGAGTTTCAATACTGAATAAGAAGCACGATGTAAAGTCGTTGATATTTAATACACACGGTTTCCAGTTTGAAGATTCTTGCAGTTCAGGTAAGTGGTCGATTTCCAGGTCTCCGTGTGTAAATGCGATCAACCACCAGATAAGGGCGAACCCAAGCCACGATAGAATGAACGAGAGCGTGAACACAAGTAATGTCCACCGCCACTGCGCGTCCACAAGAGTTGTGAACATATCCTGGAGGAATCGTAGTCGGCGCTGTGAGATCCGCGACTTGAGTATGTTGCACTCGCCATTTTTGAGAATAGCTCTACGCCTAGTTCTCCTCGTAGCGCCATGTCTGTGCGAGCGGCTCCTGCAAACAAACACGGAAATGTATTTATAGTGCCGTTTCGACTCAATGACTGTCGTTATCCATGACTGTCGTTATCCATTTGTTCTATGCTCTGTGTTATTAGTGTGAACATGTAAGTATAACACTCGTGTGATCTCTACACGCTCTGAGTTAACCTTCGCTATTGTTAATATCGATAATGAGCTTATAGAAATAATGTTTCTTAACATAAACTAATCACAATCAAAACATAAAACGTAACATAAAAGAATGACAGAAAGCGAATATTCAGACAAAAGCGAAACAGTACGGATTGGATTCGGTCGGAGACGGCACAGGGTAACGCGTGTCGACGAACCTCTTGCTGACTGTGGGGTAGTAGACTCCGGGGGAGAGATTGCCGTTGGCTGGCACCGGCTTCACTTTGAGCCACTCATCGGGAAGGAGATGGGACTCTTCGCGACAGGCGGGCGACTCCGGGTCGGCGTGCATGCTGGCGGGTGTGGACGTGTCGTGTGCGCGGATCACTCGCAGCGAAACGTCTGCGCCAGCATCCCCCGGTGCTCTCGTACCTCCTGAAGCATCGCACGCGATAATGTCGCGGTCACGACTGCCTATATCGTGCTCGTCTGCGCAACGACGCGCTAAACACTTTATAATTATATCGCGAGATTCTATATCGAAAATTATCAGTTCATCACGGAAAACTGTTTTCAGTTAGTGCCTATCTTGACGTCTCACCAAGTATAGGGTGCGCAATCGCATTTATCGCTCAAATAAACTCATTAAAACATAATAAAATGGTTTGCTCATAACAAAATAACACCTCATATACGAAACGTATTCTAATTAAACATGTCTTTATATCGTTCGACACCTACTTATGTAATGAATCCGTAAAGTAGTAAAATTTTTATGTAACTAATTTAAATCTACTTATACAAATATGCAAACGAAATAAAGTATGAGACTTTGTGAAGTTATCAAAATACGAGATAATGATTATGTTTGTAAAATGTTGTTAATGTATTACTTTATATCCTGAATAAGTCAGATTATTGTGTTTCAAATATATTAACGCCTAACACAAATTATAATTTTTCTACACAACATTTAATAACGCTTAAAGTATTATCACTTTTTTAAATAATATAACCCTGGTCCAGGTAAAGAACTCTAGTACCTTATGAAATATGTTACTGAGTGGCAGGGCTCCATTTTTGCCATAGTGTCATTCAGGGTTTTCCTTGTAATATATTATTTTCAGGGCTGATTGTTCTTACACAATCCTCTAACTACCGCTGTGCACCAGGTGAACCAATTCGTATTTCGGTTTAAGGCCTTTAGAGAACCAGTTGTCAGTGACGGAACGCATATTTTTCTACTAATGTATTTCTATTTCAAAACGTGATTGATCCACACTACAGCTATATTATGGTAGTAGCACGAATGAGTCGACTCGACAGGCGTAGGACTACGCTCTTACAGAATACCAGCTTAAAATAGCAGCTTAATGCTGCTGTGTTTCGTATGGTGAGTGCAAAGAACCGAAGACCCTTTTACTTGAAACTAGGCTAGATGTGTCACAGCATTCACTTACCATCGGGTGGACTGTTTGCTCTTTAATCACGCTTGTGGTGAATTGTGACGCCGCCTAAGATAGTAAAGGTACGGACAGACGTGCTCATTACAAACACGAAAGCATGCTTTTATTGAGCAAGTGCTCATTAGTAGAATGTGTGTCGCAACGTTGCTCGTAAAGAGCGTGCTTATTTTAAGTATGCTCAAAAATCAACCGACGTTTGATTTTCGAGCATGCTACCTGATGCGCGAGTAGAAGGGCGTGCTCCGAGCGCGTCTGAACTGAACAGAATTGCTTATGAGCATGTTTTATCGAATCGATCTCGATTCGCGACAGTTGCTGCGTCAATTTAAAATAAAAATACCCTCGATATGTCACGTTGGGGGGAAGAAAAAAACTTTGCTTTTTTTACACCATTCGGTTGCAAGCAATATGAGTATTTTATTATGGTCTGTACGGATAGCACTGTGATTATATCTTTGTACATTCATTTCGGCCGAGAGCCTGGTGCCAAAAGACATTAGTGGCCGAACATACATTTCAATAATGCGGTAAGGACTAGGGATGTGATGAATGATGTGACTTCCATAGTTCTGCGGTGCGTGTTGCCAAATATCGTGTGGATTGTAACTACTATTTTAATTTTGTAACTCTATTTTAATCATTTAATTATATAACTATTTATTATTTTTATAATTATGTTTAGTTCATTTCATTTTTTATTTCCGTTCCGATATTTCGGATATTTCCGTATCGATATTTTTCATCGCGCGCGAAACAAACTATACAGTATGACGACGACGGCCGAGCCTGCAGTGAGTCAAAGTGAATCTGTATTTACTAAAGTATTTAATTACAAGACTGATGGAACATCCAAAATTTCGGAATTTCTCAGCCAAAAAAAATTAATTATAACCAAACAAAACAAAATCAAACATCCATTTACATTCCATGGCTTTTTTGACATGATAGATAAAGAGATAAAAAAATGGATTGAGTTGAAAAATTTATATTTTCAAAAGTTATCTTGTTTACCCCGCCATGCGGACCTGATAAATCGACACCATAAGCAACTAAAACCACTTTTTAATCTAAAAATAGTACTTAATCGATTTAAAAAAATATAAGTTTGACAATCATTTATCTTTCTAACAACGTGCTCTTTATATATGTGTTTGACAATCATTTATCTTTCTAACAACGTGCTGTTTATATATGTGTTTGACAATCATTTATCTTTCTAACAACGTGCTCTTTATATATGTGTTTGACAATCATTTATCTTTCTAACAACGTGCTCTTTATATATGTGTTTGACAATCATTTATCTTTCTAAAAACGTGCTCTTTATATATGTGTTTGACAATGATTTATCTTTCTAACAACGTGCTCTTTATATATGTGTTTGACAATCATTTATCTTTCTAACAATGTTCAATACTCGTATGATTGTTATATACGATTTCATGCGACAAAACGTGAATTTTAGACGCTAGTAGAACATACCTACGCGCTTTGCGCTTGCGCTATGATTCTCTATGGTAATTGATGGTCAAAATAATTAAATAAATAAATTAAATAATTTATCACACGTCAAAATCATATTACGTACAAACATTTTGAAACAGCCTGTACCAAAATAGAGTCTAACCCCAACCATTTCATTAAATAGCTAATTTGTCTGTGTGCGAATTGGGCTGCTAATGCGCATCTTTTCTACTAATTGGATACTCTCGAGCTGAAAATTGAAGGTCGTACAGGAAATAAAGGTGTCTGTTATATGATATTGTAATACTTCACAACAGATCTGAGTATAAGTTTAAATAGGTGAATTCTAAACTCTAGTGTGCCTGCCGTATCTGACCCAGTGATTATATGCTTCTCTCTTTTACAATCAAAATAACAACATAATCCTGATAAGAATATGATCAGGGGATCAGTAAACTAAAGTGACTAGTCAGTAGAATCGATAAACTTTTGTGGTTCTCGAGTAAATAAGTGAACTTTGCGCCTAACACATATTTCGTTCGGTGAGTGAAGAGAATTGGAGAACCTTTTTATAACTGGGTATTTAAGGGGATATAGTAAGTCAGCTCAAATTCTAATTTCGCCCCCACTTACCCGCCTCGATCTATGTACCGACATGTATGTAAACACTAATACTGTAAGTAGAAAAGTCGTTAGACACTTATTTCGTTAGGTATATCATATTTATGCCTGTTTCTTAACGCCAAGCCAGTCGCTTCTTATTTTTATCACGGTTATTTCCCATTTTAATTTTACGTCTTCCTGTTGCGTAATGTGTATTCTGATCAACAACCCCCCTTTCAAAGGCCGAAGTGAAACTGACTGGGCGGCAGGAATCAAGCTTCAAGAGGCCGATAGTTTAGGTTTCTTTTTTACAGTGAAAATAATTGTATTTTAAAAAAAGTAAATTACATAGCACTGCTTTATAGTTAGTTCAGTTAGTATGCAAAGTTTCATGATCTTATTTAAAGTATTTTATAAATAACAGCGGTTTATTGTTTATTTTGGAGGTAACTTTGGATTTTTTTCTATCGAGAAAATTTTACGGAATCGTGTTTTCGTCTAACATAATATTTCACATTAATCTTCAACTTTACCATATATTTATTTCAAAATTAATGCTGCAATATTTTCGGCGTAACGGAGGATCTTGCTAAGCCAATTGAGGTTATATTTCCCCTTAATCAGAGTTCTTAAGGGTGACAACGCTTGCTGCGGTGATGCTGCAGCTGTATTGTCGAAGCAGCACGAATGGACAGCTGGGGGAAAGAAATCGATTTCAGAATTTCATCGGGTTTCCTTTGGTGAATGTCGAGAACGGAAGAAACTTTTTACTGATAACTAGGCATACCATGACTGACGGCATCTAGACGCAGTGGTTTAGCAATGAGTTACAGCACTAAGGGCCGGGTTCGAGTCCCACAGGGAACAAATATATGTATGGCCTACAAATGAATGTTCCGGGTCTGTATGTTTGTCCTTGTGAAATTTATGTATGTAAACTGCCCCCACGATACAGGTGAAAATCCTAGTCTGGAGGAAACGATTTTAATTTTAATTTTTTTGATCCATCTTATCCTTTAAGAGTGACATCGCATGCGTATTCATTTTTTAATCAGGATTAATATAGCTGTATTTGGGCTACAGCACCCACGTACAATCACGAGTACTGTTAGATCGTTTGTTACTCATCTTAATATATATAAATTACGTGTCACGTTGTTTATCCGCGATGAACTCCTAAACTACTTAACCGATATTAATCAAATTTGCACACCGTGTGCAGTTTGGTCTAACTTGAGAGATAGGATAGTTTTTTGCCCATTAGTGACCCACATTTTTTTTGAGATTTTAAGGATTTTTAATAGGACATGACAAAAGGTCGTCGAAAAGGGCAGAACAACGTCTGACT